TCCCAGAATTCCTGAGCCAGCCATGCTGACTGAAGTCCACGAGTCATAAAAGAGCCAAGGATGCCTACCCCTGCACTAGAAAGAGAATACTTGCCTCCAGACGTTGTGGGTGCTCTGCCACTGGAGGATTTTAAGAAGAGAATGGCCAACCATTTGTCTGAAATAGTATAGGGTTTCCTGCCTAAGCAGGGGGTTGGACTAGAAGACCTCCAAGGTCCCTTCCAACTCTGCTATTCTGTTATTCTGTTAAGGCTCCTGTACAGGTAGTCCTCGACTTACAATCATTTGTTTAGCAACCATTCAAACTTACAACAGCACTGAAAAAAGTGACTTGCAACCAGCCTTCACATTTATGATTGTCACAGCATCCCCATAGTGACATGATCATAATTCAGGCAACTGGCACGTATTTACGACAGTTGCAGTATCCCTGGGTCACATGATCACCATTGGTGAGCTTTCCAGCCAGCTTCCATCAAGCAAAGTCAGAGATGGGAAGCAGATTTGCTTAGCAACTGCATGATTTGCTTGACAAATGTGGCAAAAAAAAGTTATAAAATTGGGCACGACTCACAACAACTGCAGTGGAAATTCACAAGTCCCAATTGTGGCCGTAAGTCGAGGACTCCCTGTATTTCTCAGCTTGAAGCAGATGTAAGGATTTCTGTTTTCCCTTGCCATCCACTCCCTTGCTGAACGCAAGACACTTGTCTCCAAGGCATTCCTGTGGGAACCATGCAAATATAAGACAAACATATAATTAATTAAATGAATTGTATAATTAAATGTAAAATATGCGCTGGAAACACGCACTGCAAAAATACGTTGGCATATATAAGAAGGATGTGGAGGAATTAGGAGTGCAGAGAAGAACTGAAAAGATGGCGAGAGTCTTGGAAGCTAAATTCTGTGAAGAACAATGAAAATAACTGAGTATGTCTAACCTAGAAGAAAAGGCTGAGGGGATACATGGTCACAGTCTATGGGCAAGAGGGGAAGACAAATGGAAGCACAGATACAGTATAGGTGTAGTAACTGTAGTAACTGTGAGAGGAATCTTGGAGTCCTAGTGGACAATCACTTAAATATGAGCTAGCAGTGTGCTGCAGCTGCCAAAAAAGCCAACAGAGTCCTAGGCTGCATTAACAAAGGGATAGAATCAAGATCACGTGAAGTGTTAATACCACTTTATAACGCCTTGGTAAGACCTCACTTGGAATACTGCATACAGTTTTGGTCGCCACAATGTAAAAAAGATGTTGAGACTCTAGAAAAAGTGCAGAGAAGAGCAACAAAGAATATTGGAGGCTAAAACATATAAAGAATGGTGGCTGGAACTGGGTATGTCTAATCTATTGAAAAGAAGGACTGGGGTGACATGATAGCAGTGATTGCCACAAAGAAGAGGGAGTCAAGCTATTCTCCAAAGTACCTGAAGGCAGGACAAGAAGCAATGGATGTAAACTAATCAAGGAGAGAAGCAACCTAGAATTAAGGAGAAACTTCCTGACAGTGAGAACAATTAGTCAGTGGAACAACCTGCCTCCAGAAGTTGTGATGATCCAACACTGGAAGTTTTTAAGAAGAGAATGGCCAACCATTTGTCTGAAATAGTATAGGGTTTCCTGCCTAAGCAGGGGGTTGGACTAGAGGACCTCCAAGGTCCCTTCCAACTCTGTTATTCTGTTATTGAAAGAGATCCGGACTCAAAATGAAAAGGGGGAATGGAACAGCCTCTCCTGCAGATGTGGGTGTCCTATCACTGGATGTCTTCAAACAAAGGTGGGGCAGTCATCGTTATATGATGGCTAGAGTGGTTTGATTAGACCTTTTCTAAAGTCCCTATAACTCTTTGATTCTACAAATATAAGAAGAACTCAGTAGATTAGACCAAAGTCCAAACAGAAACAGATCAAAGACAGATCAGCTGGTTTCTGCTTGAAAATGACATAAAGCAATAAAATAATACCAATTCCTTACTACAGAGGTCAGCAGCTTTCTCAAGTGTGTACACCACAAAATAAAACATCATTTTTGTTTTAAAAAAGGCCCAAACCTCAGACTGTTTAGCAGATAGTCTCAAATGAATAACTCCATAAGGAAACCAATATTTCATCAGGTTCCAACTGTTTTTTTTAATTGTGCAACATTTATTTTAGGGTTGAATAAATCAGATATGTGTATTATGAAACTTTTTGCAGCTGATAGCCTTCCTTATACTTGTCCAGCAGCAACCAACGCTTGGATATTTATATTGTATCCTGCCCTATAACTGGAAGTTGTGACTAAACATTTTGTTTTGAGGCTATCTTTATATTTTCAACAATTGTCAGCCAGATTCCCAAGAATTCCACAAACAAGGCATGAAGTCAATCTTATTCAAACTGCTAGTATTTGTATTTATATGAGAACTTCTTTTAAAACCAGAGTAGTTGACACAATGGCATTTAAAAATCCACCCCTTCATTCCTTATTATGTACAGCAATTCAAATACTGGCTGCTATTTGCACTACTTAAATAGCACCTGCAGGTTTGGAAATTTAGGATGGTGAAATGTTAATCTTAATCAGCATAAGGATTTAAATAAAATCTGAGGTGAGAAAACTCATTTAGTGGCCATTTGCATTTTGCAGCATCTTCTGGCATACCAAAACACGTTCAACCATTTCTCTTTCTTTTGATTTTTCCCCCCCATAAATATGTTTGTTTATTTTCAGATTTCACCTTTTTGTTTGTGGGAAGTGCTATTTTGGGTATCTAAGCATTGGCACTCCCACCTGACCATTGGAAATAGAAGAACAAATGTAGAAGAATGAAAGGTTAAAACGATAGAAATATTACTGGTCTTCTAGATTAGAATGGATGATTCTTTTAAATATGGACAATTAACAAGGGATAATTTCAGTTTTAGCATAGCGTGTTGTCTGAACCAAGCTATTGTATCTGACCCACAATTTAAAGTACAGGTAGTCCGCAACTTACAACCACAATTGAGCCCAAAATTTACCTTGCTAGGTGAAAAAATTGTTAAATCAGTTTTGTCCCATTTTACGACTTTTCTTGCCACATTTATTTAGTGAATCACTGCAGTTAATAAATTAGTCATATGGCTGTTAAGTGAATCTGACTTTCCCATTGACTTTTCTTGTCATAAGGTCACAAACAGTGATCACATGACCCCGGGACACTGCAACCGTCACAAATATGAACCAGTTGTCAAGCATCCGAATGTAAATCACATGACCATGGGAATGCTGCAATGGTCATAAGTGTCAAAAATGGTCATAAGTCACTTTTTTCAGTACCTTTGTAACTTCGAACGGTCACTAAATGAACTGTTGTAAGTCGAGGACTACCTGTATGCATAGATAATGTAAGGATTCAAGCTGCCTCCCTTTCCCCCCCAAATATTCTCTTTGTGTCCACTATGCTTCTTGTTCTGAGATATCAGAGAACATTCATCAGAGCTAATTTATTTTCTAGCCAATGTGTACCCTGTGCTGATTATGTATCTAAGCATTGGCATCATGGGAGCGATTTTGTGAACCGGCACATATTCCATTTTATGAGAATGCCCACAATGTATTTTCAAAATGTTGTATATACTCTGCCCCAAAGGACTGCCTGATCCTGAATTTAGCTTAGCATGTTATTTTTATGAAGCTAATTCTGGTTCATAATTCAATAAACTGTAGTTAATCAAAGGTTCTTAGAGCCCAGATATCACAGTCCTCTCCTACATGTTCTAAGACTAGATAGCTCTGCAAAACAAAATAAATTACAGGTAGTTCTCAGTTTACGACTATTTGTTTAATGACTGTTTGAAGTTATAACAGTACTGAAAAAAGGGGGGGCTTATGACTGGTCTGCACACTTACTGTCATCACGGCATTCCCATGGTTACGTGATCAAAATTTGGCCATTTGGCCACTGAGGGTTGCAGCATCCTGGAGGGAGGGGTCACATGAGTGCTCTTTGCAACCCTGCCAGCTGAATTCTGACAAGCAAAATCAATGAGGGAAGTTGGATTTGCTTAACAATCTCATGAGTCACTTAATGACTGTAGTGATTCACTTAAGGACCACAGCAAAAAAGGTTGTGAAATCAGATGCAACTCACTTAACCATCATCTTGCTTAGATAAAGGAAGTTCTGGTCCCAGCTGTGGTTATACATTGAGGACTATAGTCAGGGCTGCCTCTACTCAAATCCTAGGAGAGAAAAACCCTTTGCTCCATAGATTTAGAGAAACGGTAGTTTTACTGGGAAAGAAGTGACTTTTCTCTAAATCTATGGAGTGAAGGGGTTTTCTTTCCTAGGATTTGAGTAGGGGCAGCCCTGACAACTACCTGTACCTCTATTACAGTGTTTTATATCAATGAATCCTGGGAGTTATAGTACCAAGAAGACGCCAAACTATTTCACAATCGATCTGTAGAAAGAGCCAATAAAGCCCTCTTAGTGCTACAATCCACTGGAGTCTGGATACAAAATAAAAACTCATTAAAATAGCCCAGGCAATTGAAAGACTCCCTTTATGAACCATAATTATTTTTAATGAGATCATTAGGACTCTGCCTATGACGCAATGTTGGGCTTGTGTGGATTTTTGCGATTGCAAATATATATATAGCTTGGGAGAGTGTGGAAATCTCTTACATTAGAAATTTAAAGATTTGTGTAATATCGTTACTGGGTTGGCTACACTTAAAAGGCTGGATGAGTAATAACAAGAGCATCAAGGAAGCAACAAAAATAAGTGATTTTAGCATCTCTTTACAGCCATCTATTTGTCCACTAAGATCTGGGTAATCCGAAAAATGCTGTAATGTCTTGAGGAACATGTTTCTTTCTTGATTTGGTAACTATGGTAAAATGAATATATCTGGAGCCATTGGGAACTCAGGCTGGCTCAAAACCTGACTAAATAACTGAAGTCATATTTGATTTTTTCCTGTGTGGTTTTATCTTAATATTTTTTATTTCTTTTTGTTTTCTAGTGGTTTAGGATATATCACGGGATCAAGTGTCAAGCAAGTAGCTGGAGACTGGCACTGGGCCCTGCGGGTGAGTAGTGAGCAGGATTATCATAACTGCATTGCAGAAATCTACGTCACCACAAGATGGCAGTAAAGAGAGATAGGACACTCCAACTCTTGGCTACTATCTAGTGATGATCCAGTTTTTGCAGCCTTTGTATTGTAGCTCTAGTAATGAACTCCTGTTTAGATTTAACACATTTGTATATAAAAAAATAAATATCATGCCTCTTTCCCCCTGATTTATAATTTATAAATTATAATTTATAATTCAGTGGAATTCGGGTGCAACATAATGGCCTGATATCGGTGGTAGTAAGCCCTGATGTGTGGTTTGTTTGGCTTGAACTTAACATGTTCTGCAAACCTAGCCATTGCAATGTGTAAATCATAGTATTTGGCATAGTATTTGGCTTTGTGTGAATGTATGAATACAACAAGCTGTGGTTTGTTTATTCAGCTCATGGTGTGCAGAGTGCTGCTTGTGGAGAGAAGATTTGATGGAAATGAATTTTTTATCCTCTTATATTATTTTGGACATAAACTTTTGCAGTTGAGTGTGATTGATAACAGAGGTTAATTATGCTACAATTATAAGTAGGCTAGCAAATAATTAATTTGTGGATGTTGCTTACTGCCTGTTTTTTTCCATACATATTTATTCCTTCAAAAAAATTCCAGAAGCTTTGGATGATATGAATGTAGGATCTGGACAACTTTCCTGTGACCTTTCTAATTATTCTCCATGGTCAGTCAAAGGTGCGGCTTATATTATAATGTCACTGGTGCAGATGAGGCCAGCATTTGACTCACCATTTCTCTTTCTAAAGTGCTTGATGGGGTTAAAGTAGATGGGAACTCTGTAGCCCCAAAATGACTCATTTGGGTTCAGTTAATGTGGCTGTGGATTGTTTAATCAGATCCAGGAGTGAAGCAATTGGACTGGGCTATTAGTGGCTGAGTTAATGGGTTGTGTACATAGAGCCACTGTGTTCCTGAGGTATATTCGGAGGTATTTGTAGAGGTATATGTGGGAAGATGACAAGAGCCAGAAAAAGGACAATTACATACTTTGCTGACTTTTTGCATTCTGGTAAGCAGAATGTTATTCCCAGCAATCCATTCCTGTTCTCCTCCAGTTTTCTTTGAGTTTTTGAGTTCTTCAGCTTTTTTTCCTTCAGGGTTTTTCCCCATTCTCCCCCCCCACACACACATTTTGGCAAATCTCTAAATTTGCCAATCGGAATAACAGAGTTGAAGGGACCCTGGAGGTCTTCCATTTCAACCCCTGCTCAAGCAGGAGACTCTATACCATTTCAGATAATAATAATAATAATAATAATAATAATAATAATAATAATAATAATAATAATAATAATAATAATAATAATAATAATAATAATAATAATAANGAAACCCTATACCATTTCAGACAAACGGCTGTCCAGTCTCTTCTTAAAAACTTCCAGTGTTGGAGCATTCACCATTTCTGGAGGCAGGTTGTTCCACTGGTTAATTGTTCTAACAGTCAAGAAGTTTCTCCTTAGTTCTAGGTTGCTTCTCTCCTTGATTAGTTTCCATCCGTTGCTTCTTGTCCTGCCTTCAGGCGCCTTGGAAAATAGCTTGACTCCCTCTTCTTTGTGGCAGCCCCTGAGATATTGGAATATTGCTATCATGTCCCCCCTCATCCTTCTCTTCATTAAACTAGACATACCCAATTCCAGCAGCCTTTCCTTATATGCTTTGGCCTCCAGTCCCCTGATCGTCTTTGTTGCTCTTCTCTGTACTCTTTCTAGAGTCTCAACATCTTTTTTACATCGTGGTGACCAAAACTGGATGCAGTATTCCAAGTGTGGCCTTACTAAGGCATTGTAAAGTGGTATTAATACTTCAGGTGATCTTGATTCTATCCCTCTGTTAATGCAGCCCTGCATTGTGTTGGCCTTTTTGGCAGCTGCAGCACACTGCTGGCTCATATTTAAGTGATTGTCCACTAGGACTCCGAGGTCCCTCTCACAGTTACTACTATTGAGCAAGGTACCCCCTATACTATACCTGTCCAACCTCTTCTTGAAAATCTCCAGTGATGGGGCACCCACAATTTCTGAAGGCAAGTTGTTCCACTGGTTGATTGTTCTTATTGTCAGGAAATTTCTCCTTAGTTCTAGGTTGCTTCTCTCCTTGATTAGTTTCCATCCATTGCTTCTTGTTCTTCCTTCAGATGCTTTGGAGAATAGGTTGGCCACCTCTTCTTTGTGGCATATTGCTATCATGTTACTCCTAATCCTTCTTTTCATTAAACTGGACATACCCAATTCCTGCAACCATTCTTCGTATGGTTAACCTCCAGTCCTCTACTCATCTTTGTTGCTTTTCTCTGTACTCTTTCTAGAGTCTCAATGTTGTTTTTATATCGTGGCGACTAAATCTAAATCATCAACCAAATTATCTCCCTTTTCCTTATTGGTATTATTTTGAGTGCATACTGTAAATGTTGGCACTCATAAATGTTGATCCTCAAAGTAGAAAGAATTACAGTGAAGTGCTAGTACCCCATAATGGCTGTCATGACTAATCTGTACTATGATTAAATGTTCCTTTTACAAAGATCTTAATTAATTTTAATGCAACTCCTGCCCATTCACCTCCCCAACTAAAAAAAATGTCAGAGAGAAGGACTGTATTTAATCCACTTATATATAAAACTTGGCCTAAAACTGAAACAGCTAGTTTCATGTCTAGTTTAATGAAAAGAAGGACTAGGGGGGATATGATAGTAGTGTTCCAATATCTAAAGGGTTGCCACAAAGAAGAGGGAGTCAAACTATTCTCCAAAGCGCCTGAAGGCAGGACAAGAAGCAATGGATGGAAACTAATCAAGGAGAGAACCAACCAACCAAGAACTAAGGAGAAATTTCCTGACAGAACAATTAATCAGTGAACCAACTTGCCTCCAAAAGTTGTGAATGCTCCAACATTGGAAAAAGAGATTGGACAACCATTTGTCCGAAATGATACAGGGTTTCCTGCTTGAGCAGGGGGTTGGACTAGAAGACTTCCAAGGTCCCTTCCAACTGGGTTATTTTGTTATTTGGCCAAATTTAAACCCTGTATGGTGTATTTTTGCCATTTCTCACTGAGATTTCCGCCTCACCTCTTTTCCATAGCTTCTCTTTCATTTACTCCCCTCATTTGTTGGAGCACATACAAAATCTGTTATACAATTTAGAGCGCTTCTGATTTATTCCAGTTTATTTTGAGATAGGTAGTAAAGGAAAGGTGGCCTCAGTCCACTGTTCTTAATTCCCCTTATTATTAAACATAAAGGATCTTTTTTTCTGTTTGGGGGTGCATGAGAGAGGGGGAAACTTTGTCTCACTTCACATTTCTTTTCCTGCACTGAGCCGTTCTTATTTCCTTCTATTTTATCCCCTTGGCGATGTTGATAAATGTGCTAGGGAAGACTAGCACACAATGCACACACAGCAGACACAAAAAAATATTGGCCTGGATGGAAAAATAGCCAAGAGGAAATAAGACGGCAAAACTGCTTACTGACTTTTGACCCTGCTTGGATTCCGGCCATCAGAGAGGTGATCTCTGTTTTCTTGTCACTGGCCTTCTGCGGAGGTGGAATTTCAGAGATGGAGCCATTTGGAGGTGTTGAATACCATCACATGCCTGGTTTAGAATAAGCATCTCTATGCGGGTTAATTAGTTCTGTTTTGTAGATGAGATAGAATTTGCATGGCATTTTCAAGTGCTGAGAGGACATGGAATGCATGATTTAGGTGGGTGTTGTTTTTTTTTTTTTTACATCAGCGTTATAAATTGTGCCAGCATAATTATCCTTCATATAGTTCATGTTGTAGATTATGGGTAGGAGGGAAGGTTAAGATTGCAAGTGAATTAATGAAAGAAGAAAGATTCAATTGATAATAGCTTTGTCTACTTAGCAAAGGAATGGAATGCGTTAAGTAGGATGTTACTCCCAGATTTTATTTTATTTATTTATTTATTTATTTATTATTTGAATTTATATCCCGCCCTTCTCCTTGCGGACTCAGGGCGGCTGACAATCAATTAAAAACACCACTAACAATCACAAGTTAAAATTAATTAAAATGAAATATTTAAATTGTCTAATTAAAAAGTAATTAAAAACCCCTCTAAAAAACCCCTCTTAAAAATTATCCTAGGCCAGTCCCGCTTGTTGTGGGTTGTCATATATCCTAGGCCAGTCCCGCTTGTTGTGGGTTGTCATATATGTATATCTTCATTTATTTTATAACAAATTGTATAGCATTACAGGTAGTCCTTGCTTAGCGACCTGTCTCATTTAGGGACAATTTTCACTTGATACGATAATGAAAAAGTAACTTTGCAACCAATCCTCACATTTATGACCTTCTCAGGTCTATAAAGCCAAGGAATACTGAAGTAAGATCATAAGCACGGTTACAGTTAGCTAGTGATTTGTTTAATGACCAAGTTGCCAACTGTGATCACTAAACAAGGCCTACCTGTTTGCTGTTGACTTTGCTGCTGGGATATTCTGAGTCAACCTAATTTTTGATGGTGAGGCGGAACTTCCTTGGAAACCTGGCTATGCTGTATGGATCTCTTATGAGTTTGGAAAGGAGGGCATGATCAAGTTGTATGACATTATATATGACATGGAGAAAGTGGACAGGGAGATTTTCTTTCAGACTTATACTGCCAGACAACCAAACTGATTCTGATTAACATGGAATCAAAACTTTACCTCTCTAAATTCACTTGTAGGAGAAGAAGTTCTAAAAATGGCTCGTTTTAAAATGACTTGCCTACAAGGCCTCTTCCTTTCAAATGCTATAAATAAGTTGTCATGCATGGAGATAAATAATTTGCCCTCCAGACTTTTCAGACCTCAGTTCTGAAGATTCAACCCCATCATTCCAATCTTTTCTTTGCAGTTCTCAATGTAGGAATTTCTTAATTTTATAAGAAAAACTAGAGGAGGTGAGTCAGAAAGATGAATTTCTGTTCTAATCTAGGAATCCTGTTCTTCGACTTGAGTTTTGATGTCAGGTCATCTGCTTTGGGCTATTTTCTTAAGTTGTTTTTCTCTCTCTTCTCTTCCAGGTTTCTCCACTTTTAGGTATGATCACAGGGACACTTATCTTAATATTTGTACCAGCTGCTAAGAGAGGCAATGCTGAACAACTGGGAGCACAGCTGAAGGCTAGGACCTCCTGGCTGAGGGACATGAAGGCCTTGATAAGAAAGTAAGGCAACCTTGTTTAATTAAGGTTGATTCTTAATTTTTCTATGTTAGAAACCAACTTGAGATACTTTACGGGTGCAAAACCAGACAACTGAGGCTAACATTTTTGAAAATTGCCTCAATATTCCACTTTTCCAGCTTCTTTTTCATGAAGCTACTGATGACAGCAACTGTTTAGCGTAATATCAACACCACTGATGTGCTAAGTGCCTTGTATATTAGAGAAATGATAACAGTCCTTCCCTAGAGGACTTTTAATTCCTTTGTATCACCATGTTACGCTGATGTGGTTTTTCGCCCTCTTTTGCCACAGAGCTGCAGTTTTATGGTAGAAATTAAGAATAACAGAGTTGGAAGGGTCCTTGGAAGTCTTCTAGTCCAACCCCTTGCTCAAGCAGGAAACCCTATACCATTTCAGACAAATGGTTGCTCAATCTCTGCTTAAAAACCCATAACTTCTGGAGGCAAGTCGTTCCACAGATTAATTGTTCTAACAGTCAGGAAATTTCTCTTTAGTTCTAGGATAGTTCTGTCCTTGATTAGTTTCCATCCATTACTTCTTGTCCTGCCTTCAGGTGCTTTGGAGAATAGCTTGACTCCCTCTTCTTTGTGGTAGCTCCTTAATTATAGCCGCTTAATTATAAATTATAGATGTCAAACTCTGGAAAGAGTTTTTAAGATTATTTCTGGGCTACTGTATGAGTAAGAGGGATCAGATGTTTCCTGGGGCAGATCTGCTTTCTTTCTTCTACTCTGTTCAGAAGACTCACTTCATTTACTGACCTACAACCCCCTTTGTCTTCAGTCGCAGCTATGTCTTCTCGTCCCTGGCTACCTCTGCTGTTTCTTTTGCCACGGGAGCTCTAGGGATGTGGTTCCCTGTTTACCTGCATCGGGCCCAGGTTGTTCAAAAAACAGCAGAGATTTGCACTTCACAGCCCTGTGGGACCAAAGACAGGTGAGGTTTTGTTCATATTCCCCTATAAGCTATAATAGATTTCCTTAGAATATGTTCACATATGGTGGGCTGTATTTGCTTTATGGTATAGCAGATGCTGCTCTAAACCTCCAGAGGAAGAGTGGGCAGAACACATTTTAAATGAATAAATGGAATTGCCGTGTTCAGAGGCAGCAAGCATGAACGCTCCAAGAGCCAGAAGGAGTTAGACAACTGCAGGAGAAGGTTGTTACTCACATGCCCCACTTGAGTGCTTCTTGGCAGACAGGCTTGGTTGGCCACAGGACCAGAAGACTTTCGCTGGTTCCTCAGATAGTTAGAAACCAAGCCTTGCTGCTTAGATGCGGTTCATTTGAGGATACCATGGGCTGGGAGTGAAACAAAAGGAGCGTTAGACTTTCTTTAGTGACCATCATTGGGACTGGCAATGCAGTTGATAAAGAGAAGTGGTCACTAAGTGAAACACCACAATGTTGTGATTTTACTTCAGTTTTGCTTTGTAGACCTGCCAAAGGTCATAAATGCAAGGACTGGCTGTAAAATTACTTGTTCATGCAAATGGTGGCTAAATAAGTCAGTCACTAAATGAGGACTAGCTGTACTTTTTTCAGTTCAGGCTGTTCTTCTGGACTTTCTAAATATAGTCTTAATATTTAGTACAATCCACAAAGCTTTTTATAGAATTTTTTTAAAAGCAGGAATTTATTTATTTTTATTTCTTCCTGCAGCCATGATAGTGTTTGACTTCTGAGAAGAAAATAAAGGCAGGACGTTACATCTTAAATTCTATCTGCTCATATAACTTCAGTTGACAAGTAGTGGCTTTTTATGCATTTTTAATTTTTTTTTCCCTCTGTACTTTTGTGTCCTTTGTTGCCTTAATTGTCACAACTACCATGAGAGGCAGAGATTTGTATTTTGTTTAATGATAAGCTAAATGAAACTTGAGTACATGATTTGTTTAAGAATGGTTGAATGCGGGCATGGCGTGGCAAAGGATAGCTTGTCCAGAGATGCTGTAAGTTTTAAATAAACTTCTTAAATGCAAATATTTTTAATTTTCCATGTATTGATCAATAAAAAACTCAGATCTGAGTTATGAAAGAACATAGAATTCCTATGAAACATGAAGATCTCCAGAACTTGCATTTTTTGTTTTCTGAATTCTTTTTTAGGGGCTTAGTCCATCAATTTCCATGTAGCACCTCTTACTCATAGCCTTGCTTTGCTAATTCAACCCTCTCCGCTGCCTCTCACCTACTGCCGTGTGTATAAAAATAAATCCACCTAAATGAGAAAAGATTTTTATTTCTGGAATCGTTCTGTGTCCTTAGCTTGATCTTTGGAGCCATCACCTGTTTCACTGGATTTCTGGGCGTGATCACTGGGGCTGGAGCTACTAAGTGGTGCCGGGTGAAAACCCAGAGAGCGGATCCTTTGGTTTGCGCCGTTGGGATGCTGGGATCAGCCATCTTTACCTGCTTGATTTTCGTTGCAGCGAAGAACAGCATTGTCGGAGCCTATGTAAGTGGTCAGTCTGGAGAAGGGGAGGATGAAATGGATTTCTCTTCCTTTATTCATCTACCTACAGATAGTCCTCGAGTTACAGCTGTAATGGAGCTTACCCATTATGGTTGTAAGTCCTGGCTGGCCCGATTTTACGATGTTCTTTGTGAGGGTCATTAAATGAACACAGCAATTGTAAAGCAAGCATAGTTGTTAAGCAAATGCCATGGTCATTAAGCAAACCCATTGTTCTCTATGTCACAGTTTTGCCAAAAATTGGAAGTGAATGCCAGCTTTTGGCAAAACCATCATGAAATTCGATCACGTGACTGCAGGATGCTGCAAAAGGCCGTAAATGTGGCCAGGTTGCTGAGCAACCAGAGTGCAATCATGTGCCCATGTGGGGTGGCTGACCGTCAAAACTTCAGATCGGGTCATAAATCCTCTTTTTTAGGTAAGTCGTAATTTTGCTACGTGATCAGTCATAAGTTGAGGACTACCTATATTCAGCCACTTAATTCTGCTTTTTGATTAGAGCAGGGGTATCAAACTCAATTTCATTGAGGGCCGCATCAGCATTGCAGTTGCCCTCAGGGGGCTGAGTGGGTGTGGCCAGAGTGGGTGCGGCCTATTGGGTGGGCGTGGATGGAGTGGGTGTGGCCTACTGGGTGGGTGTGGCCAGTGGGATAGATCTGAGGGTCTCTGGAAGAAGGGGGTGGGACCAGGGCAAGTGCCAAGGCATGGTCCACTGGAGGAGCCTCACTGTTCCTCTCAGGCCATGCAGGGGGGAGGGGCTTATGGGGCTAAGACTGAATACGTTTCAGCATAGATGGCCACCACAAAATTGCACATTGGCTCCTGGCTGGCCTAGGCCAGGGCCAAGGCAGAGGGGGCCGTTCCTTCACTGTTTCTAGGATGGCTTCGCGGGCCACATGAAACCACTTCGTGGGCCGCATCCGGCCCCCGGGCCTTGTGTTTGACATGTCTGGATTAGAAGAAGGGCTATAAAACAAGAAGCTCGCATTGTAGCCTCTCACTAAATCCCTTGTTTTCCTGAAAATATAAAAACTTGGGGGGAAAGCAGGGGGAGGGGGGAGAGAATTACCCTTACACACACACATGCATATATATATCATTACACACACACACACACACACACACACACACACACACACACGTGTGTAGGGTAGGGTAGGGTAGAGTAGGGGAGAAAGGGGACGAAACAATTATATTTTTTCCCTAGACCTTAACAACTCTATTGCCTTCTGGACATTTTAAATTTCAGGAAGTATGAATTCAGAATACCTGTAGAACACCCAGTTCCTTTCCCTGCTTTTATGATAGCAAAGAGGAAGATAAAGGACAGTGCCAAATACAGTGGCACCTTGGTACTCATCGTGAGTCCCGTGGGGAGAAGGGCGGCATAGAAGTTGGAAAATAAAATAAATAAATAAAATCGTTAATTGGCTCCGGGAGGCACGACGAGTACCAAAAACGATGAGTACCAAACATTTTTTTCTCATAAGAAATAATGTAGTGAGTCACAAGGCATCTGACACTGGCAAGTTCTAATTTGTGCATTAAGTACCAAACAAACGATGAGTACCAGGACAATATTTTCGCCTCAAAATGTGTTAAGTACCAAATTCGATGAGTTTCAAAGCAGTTGAGTACCAAAGATATGGAAAGTCTGCATGGAATCTCCACACTTGAAAATGGACCTTAGCCGATGCTTTAATGTACTAACTGATAATGATAATGATGATAATGATGATAAAGTTGGAAGGGACCTTGGAGGTCATCTAGTCCAACCCCCTGCTCAGGCAGGAAACCCTATACCATTTCGGACAAATGGCTGTCCAGTTTCTTCTTAAAAACTTCCATTGTTGGAGCATTCACCGCTTCTGGAGGCAGGTTGTTCCACTGGTTAATTGTTCTCACTGTCAGGAAGTTTCTCCTTAGTTCTAGGTTGCTTCTGGCGGCCTTGATTCTATTCCAATGTATTAAGTTCCATTTATACATTATTAATACAGTTCTTTGAATGCTGAGCCTTCTGTAGTTAAAATGGCCCTGGCAGTAACAAAATTAACACCTCTGAAAAGTTTTTGGAAACACGCACATGCACAAAAACTATTAGAAGTGACGTAAAACAAAGCTATTCCAAGTGCTTCAGAATCACCACTTTGCATTTTGAGTTCAAGACAATTTAAAATTGAAATGTTTGGTTTACCTTTAGCTGCCACCAGAATCCTTCTATTGTGTAATCAGCTTACATATTTAGCTGCCTCCTCAACAAGGCAGATTCCCTTTCAGTGCTTGATCTTTTTTTTTTTACAAACCCCAATTTTTCAGCATGCTCTGCGGCTTATGCTTGTATTTATGTCCATGTTTATACTGGTAGAATTATTGTTAGCTACTTTAAGAATTTAAGGAAGTATATAAATACTACAAATCAGGCAGAACATATGGCCTTGCAAATGTTGCTGGATTCTAGCTCCTTTTATCCCAGCCATAAGCCATGTTCAGTAACATCTGGAAATTCCCTGCTCCTGCTATAAATAAATTTCTCACCATAGTTGACCTCTACCTTTCTTGAAATACACAGAATTCTTGCCAGTTTCTAATCTTTCTCCTTATAAACATATAAAAAATATAAACTTATAAACCTTATAAAAATACAAATATCTTATAAGTATTTCTTTAATAAATAAAATTTCCCATCACAAATAAATAAAACAAAAAACCCATCCCTCCCCGTCACCTCCTCCCCTTGATAAGGTTCAGTGGATGTTAACAGTAAATTGCCATGCATTCGGTTACATTGGGGATACTGCCTTTAAAACAGAACACCAAATTGTGGGATATTTCTCAAACATGCATGAGTAAATGTTGTATGTCTAATGTTTCAACCACAGGTCTGCATTTTTATTGGTGAGACTCTTTTGTTTTCAAACTGGGCCATCACAGCTGACATACTTATGGTAAGTGGATATGAATGTATACTTGCATTTCATTTACTGGTATAGGGCTATATGTATGTTTTGCAATTGGGCAAACTGTTGTTGGACTCAAACACTAAGCTTGGACTATGTGCCTAACATAAATGCATTTCCTTAGTTACAAACTAGATAGAAGACTAATCTAATTAAAAATAATCAAGTTTAGTTGCTGGGCAAATGCAGCTGCTAGGTCTTTAAGTGACCTGGTTAAATATGTTGGTGTGAATGCGGCCTCATCAGCCATAGCTAGTATGGCTAATTTTCTCCTGCAGGGCGACCATTGCAATGTTCCTCATTAAAGTTGCTAGGAAGAGACTTGCACTTTAAATAACTTTAATTTAGACTTATTGTTTTGTGACTCTTCACCAGCGTCTCCTCAAGTTCTTGCTCTTTCTCCACATAATACACACACACACACACATTTCGCTTCTTCATTTGGAGAGCTGTCTCCTTGTTTAAACCTTGCTAGAGATTCCATTCTCCAGCTTTTGAGAGACCATCTCTCATCTCTCACTTCTAATTACAGATTTTCCCAATAAAGGCATAGTTTTGCCCACCATTAAAGCAGGAGATCTAGCTTACATATTTCATGTTGTGTAGATATAGCAGGAAGGTGCAAGTGGTAGCACATAGCCAATCTTGACTGTTCTAAAAAAAAAAGCTAAGCAGAATCAGACTTGGTTAGTATCCGGAATTGAAGACTACCATAAAATCCCAAGGCAATAGAAGTGGAAATGGGAAATTACCAGAAAGAAGCAGATTGGTTCTGGAGACCTCTTGGCTCCTTCCTTTCTCATTCCTCTGGATTTTGATATTGGTCCTAAAATTTATGGCCATTCTTAAATGGCCTTTGCCACTGGCCATTTCCATAGGATGTGGGCATCAAAAACAACAGTGGTTTAGAGATGCCTTCTGCAGTGCTATGAATAGTCTTGCTTGTTCTTTGTGGTGGGAAGCGGACATCACAGGGAAACCAGAACTTTCTCTAGGCCTCTACTTAAGGAGATATGCTTGGCCAAGCAAACGTATCCATCTTTCCTCATGCTTCCTGACACATGCATCACTTAGTACAAAATTGCCAGAGTGATCCCACACTTTTCCTTGGTTCTGACTTAGCCAACCTCTGTCCTTCTTTGGGCAGCTAAATCTGGGCAACTCCCATAGCAAAAATTTGGTTTCAGCTTTGTTTTATTATTCAGAATGCCAGTCTGCTTACTGACTACATCTGCAAACTTGGGCAGGAACTACTTTGTTACTAGCGGTTTCTTCCACCCTATGATCAGCTACTCCCAGTTGATTAACACAACCAACGTAGCTTATAGATCTCCCAACTTAATTCATGCAGTTCAGGAGCCCCAAACTGGGTTGCAGCTTAGTTCCAGGTTAAAAAGGATCTAACTGAGCCTTCTTCTGATCAGTTGCTCTCCAATTATGTTGGAGTACTATATCCACCCTCCGCAGACACCACATCAAATAGCATAGTGCCTGTGCATATGTGTGTCCATTCAAGTCACTCCTGCTGATTGTCTGGACAAGTCCCTGCAGTTTTCTTAGCAGCCTTTTCAGATGGATGGTTGTCATTGCCTTCTTCCACAGCTGAGAAAGAGTGACTGATCGAAAATCACCCTGCTGGCTTCAATTCCTAAGTCAGGACTAGAACTCATGATCTCCCCTTTTCTAGCCTGTTGCCTTAACCATTGCACCAAACTGGCTGCTGTTTACTGTGTGATAGTTCATATCTAGATAGAGTTAGGTAGGAAAGAGAGCCCGGGTGGTGTAGTGGTTAAAGGCAATTTTGCAGACAAAGTTCTGCCCACGGCCTGGAGCAATCCTGATGGGGCTCAAGGTTGACTGCCCAGAAAGTGCTGTAAAGCACTATGGGAAGGTATATAAGCCAAAATACTATTGTTATTGCTAAAGGAATTGACGTTTTAATCTTTTTCTCTCTCTCCCTACCTTCTGCATCCCATTTCAGTATGTGGTTATTCCTACACGTCGAGCAACAGCCGTAGCTTTACAGAGTTTCACCTCGCATCTTTTGGGTGATGCTGGAAGTCCCTACCTGGTTGGATTTGTAAGTATAGCCTTGGAACACCTGAGGAATATGATAAGAAGCTGGGTTCTTGTTCTGAGGATGATAGTTCTCCCTATCTCTGCACACACACAAGCTTTGTGATTGCACTTAATGCCCTTATCTGATTATTCAATGAATCCATATTCTGAGTTCATACAAAACATTGGGATATAAGCTAAGCCAACAGCCAGGTTTTGTATAACATAAATCCGCACTTTATGTATAACATAAATCTTTAGCCAAGTAATAACTAACCTAGCATAGCGTGTTGTGTGAATGCATCTTCTAGACCTTTATTATTAGAGTTGTTTGTCACCTATCTCACTTTGAGGCTATTCTTTATCTGAGTTGTGCAGTTTGTTGAATGAACTTAGCCACACATCTGCAAAAGAAGAAAATAAAGTACAATTAATGAAACCAGAAAGAGGCATAGCAATGAAGTGTTATTGGCACAACACAATTTTCTGCTTCCTCAGATCCACAGTTTAAGATATCTTTCTGATTTCTGTTGTGATTTTGAATTTAAAATGTATTTTGAAGTTTCCTATATACTCCTTTCTTCTCCTATTATCCCCCAAATCCTTGATGCTATAGACTTTTTTTGGGGGGGAGAGGATGTTCCAAATCATAGTAGCCCAGACAAAATGCTGCCATTTGAAGATAATTAGAAAACCTCCCCAAAATGATAAGGGGTGGATAGAGTGTTCTTTAACATAATCTTTCTAACACAGATAAGTTTCTCCCTCTCCTGAATTAGGGAAATGAGATGGAAGAGTTTTGAAGTGGTAGAAACAACTTTGAAGTTGTTTCACACTTCAAGAGGGAGCTAGTTACTCAGAAGGCTCCTCTATGTTAAGCATCCTAGTTTTGGTTCACATTATTACTCAGGGTAGTTCTAAAACACAATTATATGCACACTCCTACATGCCCACATGCCAAATATAGGGCTAACTTAGGCCACAGAACATATTGTTTCCTTTGGGTCCTCCAATCATTAAAATGAACGTATGCTTATTGCCTGATATTATTTAGCCACCTAGCCCAGATTGTCTACTGTGATCTGGGATTTTCCCAACTCTGTCTGGAGTTGCCTAGTTAAAATCTGAAGCAAAATGGATGCTTCATCATGACTTCACCCCACTTCTAGAATGAAGGTTTTGTGTACAAAGGGGATTTCTTGAGTTTGGCCCTCAGATGTTTAAGCTGAACCTAGGAAAGTGTCTGATACAATATCAGGTAATGGATTCCTTTAACACTGTCAGCTCTACCAAGTTTCAGGTGGAAAAGGCTTCCTCGGTTGATAGGTCCTTTAATAAAATAAAAGGTAAAGATTTCCCTGTCCAGTCAGGTCCGACTCTATGACTCCACTGTCATCTCTCTTTCTTGACCAAGTGAGCCAGGTTATTCGAAGATATTTTCCATGGTCATGTGGCCAGTATGGCTATATGCCAAGACACACAGAAAGCTATTATCTTCCCACCAAAGTGGTACCTGTTAATCTACTCGCATTTGCATGCTTTTGAACTGCTAAATGGGCAGGAGTTGGGGCAAGGAGCTCACCCCATTGTGCAGTGCTTGGGTATGGAACCCGGGCTTTCAGCTTTCCAGCTAACAAGCTCAGTGACTTTAACCATTGAGCCATCACACCCCCTTCAGATTCTTTAATAGAAGGTGGCAAAGTTGGCAACTGGAATTTTTGCATTTGGGAAAAGTGGGTGGTTTGTCTCTGAACAAGAGTTCCCACCATTCTCTTATCCCTGAAGGATCTAGTCTGGGGGTTACAGCCACTTGTGGAGAGACTTATACCAACAAGAAGAGAAAAACATAACAATGGGAAATCCTGCCTAACAGTAATGGGAGGAGCCAGGCAGTTAACTATAAGAATGTCAGGATTTGTTTTTCTGTGCAAAACTGAGCAAGTCTCGCAAATCTTGGCAAGGAAGCAGTTGGCTTTCCCCCATCCCATTTCAAATAAACTATGTTGGTGACAAAGAGAACGTCCATAAATAGACTTATCTCTATCTGTTCCTTCTCTTTCCACCCCCACCCCACCCCCCACTTTTCCCTTCTAGATCTCCGATGTGATACGGCAGAGCACAAAGGAGTCTCCACTCTGGGAATTCCTCAGTTTAGGCTATGCGCTGATGCTGTGCCCTTTTGTTGTGGTCCTCGGGGGGATGTTTTTCCTGGCCACGGCCCTCTTCTTCCTAAGTGACAGAGCCAAAGCCGAGCAACAGTGAGTACCTCTCAGTGGTGTGGGAAGAAGAAAATAGCATGCGTTATATTTTTAAAAAGGGTATTGTCATTTGCCATCTTGGCACTGGTATCCAATTTAACCAATGAGAAGAGGCCTGGGTGCATTTCCAATGTGAACAGCTTCAACCTCAGTTTGAAGCTCCGATTCAAGAAGTTGAGGGTGCAAAATTGTGTGCTTGGAGACTCCAGTGATCTCTAATAATGAAAGAGTTATCATTTCCAGATTTGTTAGTAGATCAGTCATTTGAGTACTACTGTGGGGGTCTTTCTACCATTCAGTTGCTTTCTCTCCTTATTAGTCCACATTATCTAGAAGAAGAGAGACTATAACTCCTTACTCTTGTTACTTCTTTGTTGCTTCTGATAATCCATATGGATTTTTTTTGATAGCAGTACTACAGTGCTTTATTGAAAGCAAAAGGAGAAGGGGACAGCAGAGGATAAGATGGTTAGATAGCATCATCAACGCAATGAACATGAATTTGGGCAAACTCCAGGAGGCAGTGGAGGGCAGGGGGGCCTGGCATGCTGTGGTCCATGGGATCACAAAGACACAACTTAGTGACTGAACAACTATAGTGTAATCAATGTCCTGAACAACTATACTGTAATCAATGTCCTGTTGTTAGTTTTTCCCAATTTTTAGTTTTCCATCAATATTTAAATTTAACATTTGATATTTATAATTTCCAAGTTTTAGGTAACCAAAGTTTCCTTTATCGCAATTCATAACAAAGTCTAATATTCAAGATACACATCTTATCTATTTAAGTATATTCTATTTCCCACCATCTTACATCATCTAGTTAATAATATAGTATAACATCCTTATTTTCAACTAATTTCCAAATGTCTTAAATTTAATGACCAAAATTTCCCCTATTTCAACATCAAATATTTCCTCTTTTTCCCTTAATATCTATTGTCTCATATTTAAGCTAATACAGTTCTTATTATATCAACTAAGTAAAAAACATGTTTATTACATTTATCAATAAATTTTTAGCTTATACATATCTTAATTACTTTTACATTCAATCTTTATAGACAATCAATATCCTATTTATTTGTTTTCTCCAATTTTTAATTTCCCATCAATATTCAAATTTAACTTTTAATATTTGTACTTCCAAGTTTTAGGTGACCAAAATTTTCTTTATCTCAATTCATAACAAAATCTAGTATTCAAAATACATGTCTTGTCTATTTGAGTATATTCTATTTTAATTAGTAATATAAAATCCTCCCTAATAAATCAAAACCCCAATTTTCTTCAGCCTTATTCTGGCTTTCTTCCTTTGCCAGCTCGTCTTCCATGTCAGTGCTTTTAAGTCATCAAATAGATCTCCCTCTGTTGTTATATATATTATTTGAAATAAAAGAGACCATCCAGTCACCATTTTTTTGGAAGGGCTAGCGAATTGTCTCTCTATTATTCCAGATCCCCATAGTTGTCCTGATATGTTTGTCTTCCCTTCGGTCTGTTCTTCTTCTTGCTCCTCAAGTTTCTTCTGGTTTATATAGAAAGTCTTTTCCATTTTCAGTGTTGTCAATCCCTTTTCTGGATTTTCCATTGACTGTATTTGTTGGTCAGTTGAATCCTCTATCATAGTATTTAATTGTTTGACTTCTTCTATTATCTTCTGCGTAGTTGATTCTTTAATTGTAGTCAAAATTTGGGTTCGTATATCTAGGCTGACATCTTGTTCTTTTCTGTAGCATCTTATTTCATCACAAGCTGAAAGAATGGTTTCATGTATTGCTTTCAACATAAGAAGAATCTCTTCCTGGTCTTCATCCATATTCTCTTAATGGTGTGTTAAATTGAGGGCTTTAAAGTCAGAGAATGAAAATAATTTTATAACTGAGTATAGAACATAGCTGAGCTTCTCACAGCTGATATTTGTCAAGGTTGAAAAAGTCTTATCTGTAGTCTGGGCTTCGAGCCAAGTCTCCTTTAGACAATAACAAGTTGTAATATCAAATTTGGCCACAAAATGTCACCAATGCCGTTTAAGGTTTTTTAAGTCCAAAATTTTTATAATCCTTTTTCCAATTTTATTTCTTTTTTGTAAATAAAAACCAAAGTCTTCAGTAAAGATAAGAAATCTTTTGGTCCCCAAATTTTAGAAGCATATAAATCCAGTCAAATTAAGGTTATTCTTTCAGTGTTTTAACTCCCCTGGATAGTCAGTCACTGCTATTCTTAGAGGGTGGGATAGAAGTTCCCTTCCCTCTCTCCTCACAGGGGGGAAGATACTTTGGGCAGCTTTTTCAGGAAAAGAAAATACTTAGGATTAAAGAGAGGTTCAGATCTCACCCAGTCTCATCTGTGCTGCTTTAGAAGTGCCTGGTGGTAAGTTTGACTTCGGCTGTCTGCAGCCTAGTGACGAGCCATATTTCTATGGCCAGTCTTTCGTCCGCCAGTTTGGAGGGCTGCCCCAGATTGAGCGGAAGGGCTACCGCCCTCCCACAATCAAGCGGGGGTCCCCTCCTTGCTTGTCACCCCTACAGGGCGACTCTCGAACCTTTCTCGGGTCCCCCAGCGGAGCAAAACCGCACGCGGAAGACGGAGCTCGCCTTCCAGTGTCCATGGCAGCCGCGATGGCAAACCGGAAGTCTTCTTCCCACTCTTATAGGGGTTCACAAATAATAACCAAAAATTCAAGTTGCATTTGAAATCCTAATAGGAACCAGTGCAGTTCAGAGAGTAGTGTTGATATCTAGGCATACCAAAGTGTACTATTTCTACCCCTGCTGTTATATTCAGGATCAATTGCTGCTTCTGGATGGTCTTCAAGGATAATCACATGCAACACACATTTTAGAAATCCAATCAGGAAGGGACCAAAGCATGAGTGATTGTGAGGAGAGCCTCCAAATCCAGAAATAAGGACAACTGATGCTTCCTCTTTTCTTATATAGCATATTTACTGTCTTAGTTCCCATGGTCAGACAGTTGAGTCAAGGAGAAATTGCCAAAGTCCACCTAGCTACATGGGGTCCATTCCCAGCTCGCAGCTCCTACACACTCTGCCTTTCTTGCTACCAAGGGCTGTTTACCCACTTTCTTGAACTCTGAAACAAGAAATAAACAAGACATTCTCTATAGGTTGAGCCCAATGCCATCAGTGGGAACAATGAGAGCAGAAAGAGAACACTGTTGAGAGAAAAGACACTGAAGATATGTTCTCCAAGCAGACTGCCCATATCGTGCTACTTGAAGACTTGAGACTTGAGACAATTTATCTCTCTGAGAGGACTAATACAGTATTCATTTTCCTTGGCAAAGGAATGTCTCAGAATGTCTAGACGCTGGCATCATTACTCTTTCTAATGCATCCTAATACAAAGGAGACTTGACCTGTTTCTTCTCCAAGATGGACCTATTCTTCTTTCCCCAACACGTTCTCTGTTACAGTCGTCTTCTGCAGATGTCCATAGTTCCATCTGCTTTCCTAAAAATTATGATGCCAGTGTTGACCATGAATTCTGCCCTCTTTGGACATGCATGCAATGTCACAATACAGAGGGTACAGTTTGGATCGCAACAACAGCATTATGCTGCTTTCATTGGAGTTTCAAGATTGTTGGGTGATTGGAGCCAGTCAATTGTGGTCATAAGTTGAGTACCGTATTTCCCCCAAAATAAGACCCAACCGGAAAATAAGCCCTAGCATTATTTTTCAGGATGCTCGTAATATAAGCCCTACCCCTAAAATAAGCCCCAGTTAATATCGTCAGCCAGACAGACTCATTTAGTACTGTATTTCCTCCAAAATAAGACATCACTTGAAAATAAGCCCTAATGCATCTTTTGGAGAAAAATTAATTTAAGACCAGGTCTTATTTTGGGGGGTTTAGTTCATCTGTGTATGCATTTTGTTGTCTTTTGGAAAATTTGTTTACATACTTGCCAGGACAAATAGGGGCAACCTGCTATCTATTTGGAGTATGTGTGTTTATGGTGTGTGTGTGTGTGTGTGTGTTTATCTGACTCCAAAAGAAAACTCAGAAACACGACACTGAATTTGCCTCATCAGGGAAAAAGTAATTCTGGATTAGGCTATTTTGTTTTGACTTGTTTTGGTTTTGTGGGCAGATGTTTTAAATATATGTGGCTCTGTCAGCATGTTTGTGGGGCAGCTCTTATGTTATATAAAATGTTTTGGGACAGATTTTGATTCCTACATTTTTTAAAGTCTATTATGAATTTAGAAGTATAATTCATCCCAGTTCCTCTGTGGCTTAGCCTAGTTGATGATCAAACTTCCATGCATTGTAATGTCATCCAACCCCTGTACATGAAAGTTAATGGAATTTTGCACAAAGGAAAACTAGATTTTGGGTTTAAATGACAAAAATCTTGTCTATAGTTCAACAGTTTTGCATATTCTACTTTTGCTAAGCAAGAAGTGATACATTATGGTAAAACCTCACCCCACCCACAACCTCTGAAATTCTAATTCATTATCTAATATGGTTTCTTGAAATTCCAACAGTCTTTGTAGGATATATGGCACAATGAGAACTAGCAACATTGTTGGTTGTGTGGTAAAGGAGACTTTCATGAACTTAAATTGTGGATACAATACTGTAATTTAGTCTATCCATTTCATATCCTAACTTGTTCCTAGTCCTAGACTTAGAAAGTATCTGGAGATCATCTAGTCCAGTGGTTGTTAACCTGGGCGATATTGCCCCCCAGGGGGCGATTTCATTTTTTCAGGGGGGCAATGGAACGAAAAGGGGTGACGCGGGGGCGAAGGAACGAAAAGAGGGCGATATGGGGGCAATGGAGCGAGAAGTTTTGGGGACACTTTTGAGACTTTTTCGTACAGTGAATCGCTGTATATCTGTCGTACAAAAACATCAGATCGCTCGCTATTAGTGGATTGAATTGTATTTTCAAATGTTCCTCCAGCTAGCTGCAGTACAGAACGCCGTACATATGTGAATTCACATCGCTTATCTTCATGCGCAT